ATAAAGGTGTCTTTTATCCACTAGAGCACAAATTTAAAAAGTTCGCAACTTTGGCAATGATGTGTTATCAACGATCGTAGATCGGTATTCGGCGGGTTCAAAGAATCGGCGCGATGTCGTCAGTCCGGCATTCGTTAAGAGACTCCCCCAAGAGGGGATAAGAACTGTCTTTTATAGCTTTTTGTGGGGAATTTCCACCACATGATTGGATGTTCATGAGTTAAAGGTTATAGGTGTCCCAGGGACTTAAAACAAGTGACGAAAGTTGGATGTTAACTATAAACTTTTCTGCAAGATGAGCTGCAAGTTCTGCAGAGAACAATAGATGTTGATAGTTATGACAGGAAGGTTTACACATTCCCGGCTAAGATCATTTTTTTTTTATAGTTCGTTACATAAACGAAAGTAAATTAATTAATTTTCTTGTTATAAAAGAGCGGGATTTTTGTTACTAAAATTCCTGATCTCACACACATATCAAAATATATTCAATCAAAATCAATTCTTTCACACATATATTGTACATACACATAGATTATTTCATGTTGTATAGTCACTGTAGTTATACATCATGGAAAAAGGTTAAGAAAACAGCAAAAAGAATAATGAGATTATAGCTTATTAGGATAGTACAATGATAATTATTGTGTCATGCATCTTAACTATTAAAGTTTTATTATATTCAGATGGGGAAAAATGATTGGAAATTTCTCATCTTTGAAACAGTGTTATGCTAATTGATTAACCACTCAGCAGTGAGCAATGACTATAATCATCAAGGGCGATCATGTGGCAGTGGTGAGGGACGACTATAGTCGTCAAATACTTTAGGGGTATCACCAAAAACTACCACGAAAAAAATTCACATAAAAAATGAATTATGTAACAATAAAAAAAGACTTTTCTTTACTAGACATAACTGTTTACAAAATCTTTTTCCAAAAGAGTAATGAGAAAAATCACATGGAAAAATACTTTTAAAAATTTTCTACATTTATTCTCCACTACTGGAGATAGAACAATACCCGACTGTTCACTGTTGAAAGGTTAAAAATGCACTTGACTATTTAAATAAACAGCCGAAGTGCCCTTTTACTCATTATTTAAGTTCAATGACAAGTAATTTATGGTCTCCATTTATTTAGATAGTCAACTCTTTCATTGAACTAATGAATTCATTTTAATGGGTGTCTAGCATTCAAATACTTTTATTTAAATAAAAAAGTAATTGAATAAATTTCAATTAGTTCATAAGAAATGATAACAACTATTCATTTTGTTTTCTTCTGATCAATTTAATTAGTTATTTACAGGTACTCCTCACTTTACGACCTATCTGCTTAACAACCACTCACACTTACAACCAATCGAGTTTTGACCTGCAATTCAGGAAATCCCCTTTCTCATCTTGAGTATCAATCAGTGGCGATTGGTGACATGCTCACTGAGCATAGTATAGGCTTGCTATGGACTTTTTTAGTCAGTTTGATGTAATTTAAAAAATTGCAGGCCTTGCCAATGCACTTAATTTAGATGTTGAAGTGGAAGACATTGCTGAATTAGTGGATTATGCCGATGGAGACCTAACAAATGAAGATTCAATAGTTAGAAGTGATGCAGTATTTGGAAGAGGAGGAAGATGAAAGAACTGAAGAAGTAAAAAAAAAAAAATTCACGGTACATGGGTTAGCTGGTGTGTTCTCCAAAATTTATGCGGCTATGTTGGAACTTGAGTTGAAAAATAAACTACATCGATATAAATCCAGCAAAATTTAATGAAATAAAAATGTTTTCAATCGTTTTTCAATGATCATCCTCAGTTACCAAAATAGAAAATCAAATATAGAACATCAAACTGAGTTCTTGCCTTGCACAAGAAGCCCCAAAAGTATTGTGCAAGGCAAGAGCTGAGTTTGATGTTCTATATTTGATTTTCTATTTTGGTAACTGAGGATGATCGTTGAAAAAAGATTGAAAACGTGTTTATTTCATTAAATTTTGCTGGATTTATATCGGTGTAGTTTATTTTTCAACTTATTCTACTTCCAGTACGTATTTCTTATATATTGGAACTTGAGGCTATGGATTCTAATACTGAATGTTTTAACATAAAGTTGAATGTGGATGAGTGAACTTTTGAAGTGCTATAGAGAAATTTATCAAGAAAAAAGATTACAATGCAAACCACAGTTACGAGTTTCTTTTCGACTGTTACATCCAAGACCTCCGCCCTTGAAGGTACAACTTTTATTTTATCGTCGTCATCTCCTTTACCTGAAAAAAAAAAAACCTCTACAAATCCAGATAACCAAATAAACAAATGATAATATGTACATATGCATGTCTTTTTATGAATAAATTTGAAGTTTGTTGCATAATTTTTATAATTTTACAACGATCCTATATTTTTGGCGCAAGCTCCTCGCTTATTGACCAATTCGCTTAACGACATAGTTGTAGGAACAGAACTCAATCATAAAGTGAGGAGTATCTGTATTCAATTTGCTAATGAGCAAAAATGCTAATTCAATAAGTTGAATTAGCATTTTTACTCATTAAATAGGAAATGAATAAAAGTATTTATCTTTTAATCAATTAAACAGGCAATTCCACTTTTTTTAACACGAGTGCTTTCAAGTGCCTTTTTCCTATATTGTCATTATTTATATAAACTTCTATATCTTTATTTATATTTCTTACTACATAAAAGTATTTTATAAGTTTTATATCAATATATTTAAAAGTTTTAAAAATCTTTGATTTATTTATATGTAATCTTTTGCTTTATACTCAATGTAGTTGTAAAGACCATTCCAGTTTTTATTTAAACAATGAATTACNTTATAAAAATGTATTTTATAATAAAATGGCTAAAGATTTACATGGATAAATTTACAAACTTGGGTAACCATTTTTGTTAATTTTTGAAGTTGAAGGCTTACATGATCTTTTGTCGTCTTTGAAGTTCTAGCTGTTTTTTTTTTTTTTTTTTTTTTTTTTTTTGAATGAACAAGGTCATAATTAATTTCAAATAAATGTAAAATGTTACAATATTTCATTATATTTCAAAACAGCTATGGCTTCAGATAAATTGTCACTTATATTATTTCTTTTTGGATTCATAATAAGACCCCCATAACTAAACACACTTTCAACTGCTGTGTAAGATGATAACATGATGTTGAAACAGAAAAAAAAAAGTGTCTTAAGTAAGGGAAAGTGGTGCAAAGCTTCAAGCTTTGCACCACGTTCCCTTACTTAAGACACTTTTTTCCCCTTACTTAAGTTTTTTTTTTTTTTTAAGGCAGATCCATTTGTTCATCTTGATAGTACTTAGTGACTTGTACTAGGGCCTGATAATGGGGATTTGATAAAAATTTAACTTTGCTTTTAATAAATCTAAAAAAAGATTACCTTCAAATAAGATATGAAATTGGACTATTTTTAATGTACAATATTATCACTTTCTGGTTCGAACCTATATTGTACAATGAAAATACTTTGTCATCGTTGTCAGTTTTAATTAACCTTCAATAAGTGCCTTCATTTTGATCATCAATTAGGCATTTAACACCTTAAGTTCCCAGCAATTTTTGATAATATTGTAATTAAACATAAAAAATACTTAAAACTAAAAAAAAACGAAAGAAATGCGTTAATTTTGAAGAAAAAGCTTCAAACTTTATTTTCTTTTGTTTTGCCTTTCTGCGAAATTTGACACTGATGAGTCATTGTTTACACAGCTGGATGACCTTGAGAACAGCTGGAGTTGGATTTCCCGGGACATTCTTAGAAGTCTTGGGAGGAGATGGGTTTATAGTAGGGTGACTACTAGCTGGCTGTATATTTTTTAATATTTTTTAAAAATTAAAGTTTTTATTGCGATGTCCGACCCCCGACTTAATTAAACTTATATATAATAAAATCTATTAATTAAAAAACTATTGGAGGTCGTTTTTGATATCAGAAAGTAGCTTTAAATAACTTTACCGAAGTAAAATCTGTGCACTACAACTTTAGAACCATGAATGAAATTTGATATCAAAATCCCATTAAAAAACAATTAATCGTTAATCGTGCGTTATTAAAGGTAAATTAAAATTGCGATAAAATTTTTTCTCACAGGAAAAAAATTTTGAAAAAATTTGGAGACTTAAAAAACATTCCAAAAATTCAAAAAAAAAACAAAAATTTTTTGGGGGGCCAAAAGGACCGAGTTTTCTGTAACACTATGTAACATGTCTTAGTTAACTCAGGCGAAGAACTAAAGGGGTTAATAAAATTAATACCAAAGAACTTTAAATCCAGTAAAAATAGAATTCTATTAACTGAATGAACATTTTTGATCATTTACTGTACAATTATCAAAAATGATAAACTACTTAAGCATATATGAAGGCATATGTATTTACAGTATATAAATGTAAATAAATTGAATTAATAATATAAACAAAAATCATAGTTTTATATTTTTACTGATTAAGATATTTTGTGCATTTTTATAGTATACTCAAATTTCCATGTATATTAGTTTTTGAATGAACTTTGAAATATTTGAATTTATATTTGCTGTTAAATAAATATACATTGATAATTAATTTTATACATAAACATAGATGTACTAGTAATATTGTGAAAAGTAACATTAATTGTTTTTTCTGGTTGGAAGGGATACTTGTATTTCAACAATCTTTCAAATACATAATTGTACAGATCTCTCAATGAATAACTAACGAGCTAAAATTATCTAAACAACTCTGTATCTGTTTTTCTTTTGACACAATTTTGTTGAAACCATCAATTTGAAATATTTAATTCATTATTGGAATATTTTATAGCATTGGAATTTAATGAAAGAAATAATTATTAACTTTAAAAATGAGTCTGTATTTTGCAATTATTAAATTAAATTTTAAAATATTTTTATAAAATAAATGTTTTGTCAATGGTATAATCTCTGTCTGAAATAAAACAATTTTTAATTATAGAAAATATTTTAGGCAACACATCTAGTGCCAGTTCTTCACTCAGCGGTGTAAATTCTATGAGTCCTGTTTCTAGTATGGCTTTAGGCATGAGCACAAATTCTCTATCAACAATGGGTACACTTACAGGTGTTAATGGGTAAGATAATCAGTACTTAAAAAATATATTATGATCAGACATTTTGTTTTCAGTAGAAATAGTAAGCTTTAAAAATAGATAATAAAATAAAACTGATATTTTAGGTTAGGTAGTACAGCAGGTATTGCAGCAAATGGTCCCAACTTAGATGCATTAACTCAAGCATACTCAGGGATACAGCAGTATTCTGGTATATATTACTTTATTCACTTTAAGTTTATTATTATCTGTATGCGATAACAATAACTTATATAAATTTTAAATGCATTTAAAGAGCATTTTTGGGAATTTGTTTTATTATGATAAATTACATTTTGGTATTTTATTTTTCATATTTAATTGTTAATATAAAATTATAATTTTATGGAAATTTGCTTTAATTAATGTATTAAATAATAAAATCAAAATAATTATTTTCTATTTTTATCAAGTTGAATGCTTACTATAGTTTAAAAATATTCAGGTATAAATGTCATTAATATGTTGAACTTCCAAATGTAAAAATTATTATTTACTTGAATGAAAAGTTGAAAATTAAACAATATTTTAAACAACATTATTAATTTTATTATTAATTGTTTATATGAGTTTTTATATAATTTAAAACAAAACAAATGAAATTTTAATATTTTATAGCATTACCTGGAGCTTTTGCCCAAGTTGGTCTCCAGCAGACCCAAAATCCAGCTGGTAAACAAATAGAAGGTATATTTCTTTTTTCTTTTGATTCCTTTGTTCAAAATAATTTCACAAAGAACAAAAGGATCTAAAAACTAGCTTATGCATTAATATGCTAGTTTTTAGATCCTTTGTTTTTTGTGAAATTATTTTGATCATGTACCGATCACATACACAATATTCAATAAATGTATTGCATAATAGAACAATCAGAATCTCTGACTGATTCTACTCTTATTATTAATAATTAATAACATTTTAATAGTTAAAGAATTCATATAATTTATCAAATAATTTTACGATATTTAAATTTTTATTACTAGAACACTGAAAATCTCAAATGAGTATTAATGACATTAGAAAATTATATTATTGACTCTTAAAAGATATAACATCTAAGAAATTATATTTGTTGTTATAAGATTTAATTTTTTTTTATTATTATAAGCTTGAAAATCCCAAATATTATATAATTGACAGGCATGTTAAGAATTTTTATGCTGTTTCAAACAGTCAAATTTCTCCATTGTGACTTTTAACAGAACAAGAAAATATATTGTTGTAGACAGATTTATTGTTACAATGAGAATTTTTAAAAAGGTATCCCTTTCCTAATTTAATATTGTTGGACTACAAATAGGATAATTTCTACAAAGTTAGACACAGTTAAACAGAAAAACATGCAATTATATTTATCTTCTCTAGTACAAGAACTAAATGATTTATTGCATATTATTTCTACAGTATATGTTAAACATCAAAATCTAAAATCAGTCAGAACCTAAATCTTTCTAGACAAAAATCTTTGTAGGCTAGTAAATAAAACTAAACTAATTCTAAAACATAATTTCTTAAGGAGAGTTCTTTCTGTAATTATTGTAATAAATATAATATACAACATTAAGACATCTGTACCACTTTCTAAGAGAACTTTATTATGTTAAATAAGTTTAACATAATAATAATCATCCATCATACCAACACTACTGGTGTGAGAATTAATAAAATAACTACGAAATTACCAACAAACCAGCAATAATTCACTTCAAAAATGAACATTTTCTACCATCTTTAATGGTCATCATCAGGTTTGATTCCAAGAGTTCAAAAAATTGAGCATCAAAGTTATGCGCATGTCCAATGCAGAGCCTTAATATAATTATTCATGTAATTGGTTTCCTGTTTTAAAATTCCGATGTTTATATAAAAATGTAGGCATATAAGATGCGCATCCATTATATGTCATAATATGCCCTCCACGCCGTCGCCAATGAGTCCGTTTCCTTGAAATTGATGGCTGTTTCCTTTCTGAACACTTTAAAAATTTCCAGCTGTTCTAGATATTTCAGGCTGGCCTGGTGTTCACACCGTTGTATTAAACATGCATTATCAAAGTTTATCCTGAGGTCATCATCAAGCGCAAGAAAAACAATTCAAGAATATAATTAAGAATATAATCAAGAACACAATTCCTATCAACGATAGGAATTGTATTCTGGAATATATTCTATCCGTATTTACGATCATAGAGTGAATCGTCTGGGCGAATATATTGGTGCTATCGCACGCTGCCTTAAAACAAGGATCGAGGAACACAAATACTCAATTCAAAAATGCCTTTCCACTACAGCATTGGTTTCTTTTGCACTTGATGCATGACGTTCAGAAAGGGAACAGCCATCAATTTCAAGGAAACGGACTCATTGGCGACGGCGTGGAGGGCATATTATGACGTATAATGGATGCGCATCTTATATGTCTACATTTTTAGATATACATCGGAATTTTAAAACAGGAAACCAATTACACGAATAATTTTATTAAGGCTCTGCATCGGACATGCGCGTAACTTCGATGTTCAATTTTTCAAACTCTTGGAATCAAACCTGATTAGGGTTTCTTTCCCGGGATTCTCACCGTTTATTCCCTACGAGAAAAATCTCGGAAAATTTAATTTTCCCGGGAAATCTCGCATTTCAATAATAATTTACCATGTCAGGTTTTCTTTCTATTATTTATTATACGAAAAGTTGCATCTTGAAGACTCACTTAAGAGAGAAATTTTGAGGTTTCTTGCTGCATATTATTACCTATGTTTTACAAGTCTCTACTTGTTAGTTCATGTAATATCTATGTATTGTGTTTGCGCATCATTGAACAGCGGAGACTTGCTGAAAGTAAATATCACTCATCGCACTTTAGTTTATTTTTTATTTCATCTTTAGAAGTAAAATAGTATTTTTTTTGTAATCATTAAAACTCCCAATGAAACGCTTTATTTTACTTTCATCTTATAATGTAGGAGAACATAAATTAATTGAGCCTAACGTGTCCGTATGGGTGAGATTGGCCCTACACTTTTAGTTACTTACTAGAAAATAAATTAAATTATTCAAATTTATGATATTCCTGTATGATCTTTTTTATTCATATAAAATTCTATTTTACTATCTCATCCCGGAATTTTCCGGGATCCTGGGAAAAGAAATTATTTTTCCCGTAATCTCACTGGAGGCAAATTTCCCGGGAAATGAGAAACCCTAAACCTGATGATGACTGTTGAAGACTGTAGAAAACATTCATTTTTGAAGTGAATTATTGCTGGTTTGTTGGTAATTTTGTAGTTATTTTATTTTTTTAATATAATAAAGTTGAGGAACATAGAACATTGTATTTTCAATGCCCCCTTGACCATCCATTATCCAATTATGTATTTACGTTATGTTGATGACATGGTACTCGCGTGGGATGGCTCAAATGAAGACTTAGAGCAATTTATTCAATCGTTGGTCTCTGTTTATCCTCTGATCAAGTTTATTGTAGAGGAAGAACAAAATTCCAAAATTTCATTTTTGATTTAGAAATCCATACATCTCCTGATCTCTATTTTCTGTCCATCATAGAAACAACAAACCACAAATTATCCCCGCTACAGCCTTCCAACCCTTAAATTTCGTCAACTGTGCCATGTCTTCCCTTATATGGAGGGTATTCCTTCTCCCTTCCACTCAAGCACTAGTAGATGAAGAATTACTAATCATTAAGAGCTATGCAAAAAGCTAGATATTTTCTGTCTAAATTTCATTTTCTTCAAAATCGTGTCAAAAATAAGCTATTTCCGCAATCGTTTTTTAGTAATAGAGAGAATCTAAAAATAGCTCATCCTCCAAAACCATTCTTAGGCCTTATCTCTCTAAAAAATAGTACATTGTTTCAGAAAGAATGGTTTTATTTTATCAATAACCCCACAACCAACCTTAAGAAGATTATTATGCAACAACAGAGATAAATTTCAATTGAATGAAAAATCTGGGATCTATTAAATTACACTAAAGCATGCTCTGTCAGATGATGAAACTAGCTACATAGAGGCCACAGCCAGAATGTTAAATTCTCATATTATAGAGCATCAGGAGGACATCAGAAACAGTAGACCATCAACAGAATTAGCAAAATAAATGCTTGACCAAAATTATCAGGCACTCTGGGCCCAAACAAAACTACTCAAATGGTGCAACAATCGGAAAGAATTGTTTATTTGGGAGAATCTCTACATAACAGCAATAACACTGTGCACATCCCAACCCTTATGGGGTGTTGCGTGGAGCCACCAATTATGGGTAACATTATTCAAGCAATTCAACCTACAATTTTAGTTTCTTTTTGTTTAATCACTTTTGCTTTAGCTATTGCTTGCTATGTAACCTTGGGTAAATTAGGTCACTTGTAATTACCGTTTTATAATTTTTAGAATGTTGTTCTAATTCAAATTTGTTTTATATTCCATCCATGTGCTGCTTATAATTTTAAAATTGTTTGAAAGCTTAAAGTTTGATAGCTGTTATATTTGATTTTGTTTGATGATGTTAACTTTATGGTACTGAAAGTACTAGCAAACATTCTCATTTTTAAAGTTTATTTTGGTAACACCACAACACTTGGTAACATCACAAGTGTTATTACTATATATAAGTTTAACATAACAAAGTTTTGTTATGTTAAACTTATATATTATATTATATATTATATATAAACTACAGAAATTATGTAGGAGTATCTTATTGTTATAAATTATACTAATTCTAGAAGTAAAAGAGGCTTTTAGGCTAAAATACCAAAAACACAAAATCTGGTAACCTGCTCTCATTTGTACTTTTGCTTACTAACTGCAGGTAACTTACATTCATGGTAGAATTGCTGTATTAAGAGAGTACCACATTTTGATTTCAAAAATGAACAATAAATTAAAATTAATTAAAATCGAATTTACTGCATTATGATCATTGTGAAGAATATACTATGTATTTTATGAGTACAGTAAAAAAAAAATATATCACAAAACACAGATTTATATCGGTAGAGGGTATTGTTCTTTTGGAATAAGTTTTATGTTAAGCTAACACAAATTATATAAGGAACTATATTTCTTATCATTCTGGATCAATTGTTATATTGATAATTGCTACACTGAGATTTGACTGTATTATATGCATTCATCAGTTTCGATGATAAAATAATAAAGATTCTGATTATTTTTATAGTTTATTTTTTTCACACTATTCATTAACCAGTCGGCACGTGCCTAGTGCAGATTAGGCACTAATCGATTTTTAATTAGTTCGTGTAAAAATTCTTATTGTGTGAAAAATCTGAAAAAATTATTACCTGTCTAATTTTTCTTCAATTTTACGATACGCAATCCAGTTTTTGCTTAAAGCGTCTCATTATTTTTATTTAATTATTGGTGCCGAATCCGCACTATTGCGCGCGTGATCTCGGATTTCAATTTTCCCGCCAGTCGCTGTTACTAAAAATAGCTGCAGCTACGGCACACGCTTCTTCGCTTATAATCGCGTTATTATAAAGCGAATAACTGTAAAAAACTGAAATTTGACCGGAAATAATTTAATTTCTTTCATTGATATTTTTAAATCATTTTATAAAGTTTTATGACACCATCACATTTCCCTGAGTGGAAGTAAACAATCTGTTAGCCATTTGACCCTCAGCTGACAGAGAAGGAAGTTTTTGAAAACAAAGTAATAGAGCGTTTAGCAGTTTGTTGTTTTTCACAGTGGAAGACTAGTAAGTTTATATAATAGACTCTAGTAAGACTTATTAGAGTCTATTATTTTCCAGAGAATAAATAATAGAGTTGAAAAATAGCACAATTCCGTGAAATTTAACAAATCTGATGTCAATAAAGGAAAGTTGAAGTTATTTATAGTGAGTTGATATTTTATAAGTTTAGTTTTTGCATTTATAAATCAAATTTTAAAAAATATAAATTTTTTATTTAAATAAATTTAAATAAAAAAATAGAATTTTTATTATTTAAATATAAATTCTATATTTTAACAAGTATTTTATACTGTTAGATAGTAGAGAAATCGAGTATTTAAGCATTTACTGTATATCAGTAAAAATAAAAAAATTGCGTTAATTTGGTTTATATATTTTGCCGTTACATTGCGCATGTAAGCTTTAAACTACAGTCAGAAATATATATTATTTTTATATGAATTTATTAATTATAATAAACATACATTATGTCTAAAATTTAATTAAAATAGCACTCTCTAATTAACATCTGAAATGAAGAAGTAATTAAATCGGGTCCCGCCGCCATCTTAAATAACGCGCGACTGTAAATGATCGATTCTGAGCGCGTCGCGTTGAATCAAATTAAATAATTTATAAAAATTAAAATAATAAATATGTTTACAAAATAATTGACTATATCTATTCGCAATAGTACTGTAAAACACATCGTACTTATAGTTTAGCATTTCTGATAACAATTAATTAATTTTTGAATTTTCTTATATTTTATATATAAAATGCGAATAAAAAAACATAAATGAGTAAAACTTAATAAAAAAAATATCTGCAACTTCAGAAAACACATATATATGAGAATCTATCAAAAAAAGTTAGTTAATAATAATTAAAATCAAGAAAAAAAATAAAACTTTCAAGGTAAAGTAATTTCTGTGGTAAAAAGTGAGGTAAGCGATCACGTGACGCCCATCTCCCCATCGTCTGTAACCAAAACGGACGAGGGTGAAATAAAAGCGGAAACACCAGTAGAAGTAAAAACAAACATCGGCGCGTATCTAGGACTATAAACTTGAGTGGGAGCGAAGATGAAACACGACACTTTGTAATTTATGCTAATTACCTTCTAATATTAAAAAAATTAAAATCATCAACAAAATTATAACAAAATTAAAGTTTTTGACTAAATTCGACTACAAACATATCGTAAAACTGGATTAAAGTAAAAATACCCGTTTTTCAACGCTAAATTTTTATTAATTAATTTTTTAATTTGGTGCCTAATTGACCGAGCGCACGTAATTTCTATTTGACAGAGCATGCACGTGCCGACAGGTTAAATGATGATATAATTTATTTTTTAAAATAAGCAACTATTTCCATATAATCTAAATAATTTTAGATTTTTTCATTATCTGAGGCCACAAATCATAAAAGTTTGTGATACTCCACGTAATTTAATAGACAATTTGGCATTAGAGTTAGGCGTTAGGTGCTATCTCTTGATAAATTTAATAATTATAAATTAATTAAATAATTTAAATAATAATTTAGAATTACTGGAAGAAAAGAATTGGCCTGAAGTGGGACTCGAACCCGCAACTCCTGCTTACCATGCAGATGCATTGCCAATTACACTACCCAGACCTTCGGTCCAATCTCCTCTTCCAGCATATATAAGCTAACGATATAACCATTGACAGTCATTACGATACCGGCTGGGGACGCATTCAGTGTCCACAACGTGCAACTCCCGAGGCACTCAACCGGCCATCGCAAACCCCAGCAAGGCATATATTACATTTTAAAATTATTTAATTAATTTATTGATATAATTATTAAATTTATCAAGAGATGGCACCTAATGCCTAATTATAATGCCAAATTATCTATTAAATTATTAGTATTATAATAGTTTGTAGCCCGATAATATTTGACTTTGGTTGATGGATAGCTTTAATTGTATCGGGTATAGTAAAGATGTTTGATTAGTTATATATGCCTTGCCGGGGTTTGCGATGGCCAGTTGAGTGCCTTGGGAATTGCACATTGTGGGCGCTGAATGCGTCCCCAGCTGGCATTGTAATAACCATCGATAGTTATATCATTAGCTTTTATATGCTGGAAGAGGAGTTTGGACCGAAGGTCCGGATAGCATAATTGGCAACGCATCTGCACAGTAAGCAGGAATTGCAGGTTCAAGTCCCACTTTGGGCCGATTCTTTTCTTCCAGTAATTCTAAATTATTATTTAACTTACTCCATGTTTTAACAAATAAAATAATTGTTTAGTATATGTGATTAACAGTTATGTGATTAAGTTATTTTTATCAAATATCTTGCTACTCTTAGCATGCATTTCAATTTACAAATTAAAATAATGTTGAACATATTTTAAAACAAGAATAAAACATATAGCAGAAATTTTTGTTAGGAAGAAAATTTCATTCATTTCTAAGAAACAAAGAGCAATGTATATTCCAAATCAACACTAACCATCACCAGAGTGAAGTTATTTACATACCTCAAAGCCTGTTACTGGTGTGAAACTCAAAGAACATTGAAAAATGGGGACAACAGTTTTCCACAAACATTTTTGAACCATAAACCATTTATGGTATGTAATGTCATGTAAATAGTATGTAAATAGCAATATATATTCTTGCAGCTTTGCAAAATGAATATGACAGTCCTCTGAATTTCTGTAAAATTTCCAAATTGAGATTACAGTTTGTTGAAAAGAACTACTTTGACCAAGTGTTGTTACAGCAGCACACAATGCTGCTTATACAACATCCAAGTTCAAGTACGTCAATAACCTTGTCTGCGGCTCTCTTTTTCCACCAATTGCTTTGAGATCCGATAACAAAAAGAAGAGTTTGGTGTTTGCTCAACCATCTGTTCCATATTTCGAGGCCATTACACATCAGTGGTGATATTCAGCGGGTTCGCACAGGTTCGGCCGAACCCATTGTTAACATTTTCAAAGTTTTCCGAACCCGTTGTTAAACACACGTAACATTTTTCAGTGGTTTTGTTTCTTTTAAAAAATATATTAAAATATATGTATTATACTCTGTAACACTACTAAACTAGAGCCTTATTCCCTGTTCGCCTGGTGCAACCTCCATCGACCGTCTCAATCTCGACTGAAACGAGGTTCAATCGCGATCGACTCGAGAGAGTGCTCGAAACTATAGATCCAGTCATAAGAGAGATCCCACAATCCCACGCACGCGAGAAAATACAAGATGGCTGCGGAACACGTGTCGGGCTATCAACAGCGAACTAAGAAAGATATTGTATTTCGAGAGACGATGACATCTGTCTATTATTATAATAATACCTAATGATAAAATAAATTATTTAGAAAAGTTATTCTTGTTTAACTGCTTTCTGTATGACTTTTTCTGATTAAAAAAAGCCAATTTTAATGTTTATAAAATATTTTGAATGAAAAATATTAAAATACTGTATGTACAAAATAAACCATTTTGAACACTCTTTTTTATTATTTATCAAAAAAATATAGTTTTGGCATAAACAATGTTAAATTTTAACTGACTTAATTTTGCAAACACATCTTTTTTATTTATATGGGTATCTTAAGATCTGTTTTTGCGCTAATGTTGCTAATGCACCATTTGAGCGAAAAAAAAATTGTTAAGGAAAAATTTTCTGTTATCGAACCCTTTGTTAAATATTTCGAATATCACCACTGCACATCATATTGTACGTGCTTTCAAGAGACATGGCATTGTACTTCCTCTAAAACTGCAGATTTCCCTGTGCAGATTATTGTGTAATGATAGGGATAGTTTTACCTTTTTGGAAAAGTCAGGAGTCTACATGGTCTATTATTATTATTATTATTATAATTTTTCAATGCATTGAAGCATTCTTTGGAATACATTTCAAATTTGCTGTTTGGAACACATTAATGTATATTTAAAATTTTAAGATTCCATTATTCTATATCTGAAGAAGACAATCTGAAATTTGTTGAAAGTACTAGTAGTAATATTTCAAGTAAAATAATAATGTTGACAGACAGTGTTAATATTTTCTTAAATAATAACTCTAATAATGGAAGAAATGTGCAAAAAACTTAGATTATATGGAAGCAATTGCTTTTTAAAACAGTAAAATAATATATAATAGTAAACTAAATTTTTTTATTAACTGTTAAATTGTCAAAGATCATTTATTATGATTTTTTTCTCTTTCATTTGTCTTGTATTTTACAAAGTGTGTATCTTATGATATAATTATTTTGCAAATCTTACTACATTCTAGGACCGGAAGGTGCCAATCTGTTTATTTATCACTTGCCTCAAGAATTCACAGATAATGATCTAGCTCAGACATTTGTGCCATTTGGTAATGTGATTTCTGCCAAAGTTTTTATTGATAAACAAACAAATTTAAGTAAATGCTTTGGTAAGTAAAATACATAATTTTGAAGACAAATTATTTATTTAAGAATTTTTTATTAATTCTCCCAAAAAATGAATGTGTAATTTTTTCATATACTTTCAGGTTTTGTTAGTTATGATAACCCAGTCAGTGCACAGGCAGCGATACAAGCAATGAATGGGTTCCAAATAGGCATGAAGCGCCTTAAGGTGCAATTAAAACGTTCCAAAGAAGCCAGTAAACCTTATTAAGGGTGTCCACTATAGCTGATCCCCATGCCTGCACACCTGATGGTAGGTATTATAATAATGAAGTAAGCTAATTTAATTCATTTTTTTATTTTTACAGCTATTTGAATAAGAAAATGCAACATTGAGATTATTTATTTTTTCTTAAATTATTTTATTCACTTTTGTTTTCTTGGATTAGTGAAATAGAATATTTTTTTACCCTTAGATTATCATTATCGTAAAATTATTCATATAAAATCAGTTTTAAATTAATGCATATAAACATTATACATATCAAGCATAAATTATTTTTTTGTTATTTTATTTTTCTGATATCAGTTCATTTTCTGGGATTTTATAATCCCAGAAAATAAACTTACATTTATAAATAATTATTTTAATGTTCTTAGTGGCATTTTAGAATAAATAGTATTTCTAAAAATTTACAATAATTTTGAATGGTATGAATATAAAAATTATGAATTTTTAATGTAATATTATAGATGATATTCCATAAAAGTAAATTTATTTTGCAGTGTTAAATGTGTGACTTTATATAAATAAATAATTATTATTTTGTGGCTTATCTAAACCATAAACTTTATAAGAATTCCTTTTTTAAAATTAAATTTTATGATAAAAAGTTAAATTTTGGAAAATTAATGATTCTATATAGTTAACTGAAATGTGTGTGTGCATTTGCATGTGCATGCTTTTATAGTTTTCCTGGAATAAGAATGGAATTGACTTTAATTAGTTTATGCATTTTTACTTATAATATATTTTCTTCAATGTTTTCTTATGTTACAAAGTTCTTTTGTAACTTATTTCAATGTTTTCTTACAATAATCTGAGCATATAATGCTCAGATTACTGTAAGAAAATATTGAATACGTTTGAAAACTACAAGTAGTTTTATTAAATGTTGATACACATTGTAGTCAGTGATTATATCCATCAAATAATTGCTTCAGTCACATTGTTAGTAATTTCATTTTTCTTTCAATCCTCTCTCAATAAAATAAATATTGTTTTGTTTACATATTTTTGTATAGACTCATTCCATTATATTTTACAGAAATATTCATGAGGATTAAAATATTTATTTCAAATAATGAAGAAAGTAACTGCTATTAGAGCAGAACAACAAAGCAATTTCAAATGGTATATTTTAAAGAAACATTGAACGTAGATGGGAAATAATATTAATAAGATTTTATGTAAATAGATTCAGAATATTCATGCACCATTAGGTTTTATGTTGTAAACAATAACTAAAATTATTCATTTCCTAAAATAAACTTTTATGGTTAGGTGAACGAAATTTATGGGATTTTNACGATCTGGTCATCCAGTTGAAGTTGATGAGACCCATATCAAGGCCATTATCGATTCAGATCGTCATAGCACAATGCGTGAGATTGCACAGAAGCTCAATGTATCGCATACATGCATTCAAAAAAATTAAAACAGCTTGGCTATGTCAAGAAACTGGATTTATGGGTCCCTCATCAGCTTAAGGAAATTCATTTGACGCAACGCATTAGCATCTGCGATTCACTTCTGAAACGCAATGAGATTGATCCATTTCTGAAACGACTGATTACTAGCGATGAAAAGTGGATAGTTTATAGCAGTGTTTTTCAACCTTCTTGAATACGCGACCCCTTTACAAGTTAAAAAATTCTGGCAACCCCATGGCCATAATAAAACTACGTCGGTGATTTAAAAACTACTGTACGTATTTAATTTTCTTTCTATAGAGATTTAAATATCAATAAAAAAAACCAATTGCAGGCACAGCCTTCTCACTGAAGTTGTAGGTTTTTTTATTGTAGTGTAGGACCTACAAACACTTGTCTTTTTCTTTTACCTGCAACCCCCCATGAATGGCGTTGCGACCCCTTTGGGGGTTGCGACCCACAGGTTGAAAAACACTGGTTTATAGCAACGTTAATCGGAAAAGATCGTGGGTGATGCAAGATGAACCAGCCCAGATGACACCAAAAGCTCAGATTCACCAAAAAAAAAGATTATGCTGTCAGTTTGGTGGGATTATAAAGGAATTCTGTACTTTGAATTTTTACGAAGAAACCAAACAATTAATTCAAATGCCATTCAACAACTCGCCAAACTAAGTGATGCAGTTCAAGAAAAGCGGCCAGAGTTGGCAAATCATAAGGGTGTTGTTTTCCAGCATGATAATGCAAAGCCCCACATATCTTTGGTCACTCGCCAAAAATTATTGGAGCTAGGTTGGGATGTATATAGCCCTGACTTTGCGCCTTCAGATTACCATTTATTTCGTTCCATGCAGAACTTCTTAAATGGCAAAATTTTTAATGACGCTGATGATGTAAAAACACATTTAATTCAGTTTTTGCTGGTAAAAATCAGAAGTTTTATGAACCTGGAATTATGACATTGCCTGAAAGATGGCAAGAGGTCATTGACAAAAATGGACAATACCTAATTGAATAAAGTTATATTTTTAAGCAAAAATTTTGAATTTTTCTTCTTATTTAAAATCCGCAATCACTTAGTTGCCAACCCTATATAAAAGAACATTGGTCCAATTTTTATTTTAAAAGTTACCTGCAGCATTTCATTTTTACATTGGTATATTTTACATACAGTACGGATAACATTGCAAATAACATTGGACAGATGCCATATACAGTGGAATCCCGGTTAACGAACGTAATCCGTTCCACGAGTCCGTTCGTTAACCGAAGCAATTTTTCCCATAGAAATTAATGCAAATACAATTAATCCGTTCTAGCCGTCAGTATTTTTGTAATTTTATTTGTAAAATGGGTTTTCTTTAATGAAAATATAGGAAAACGTGCTCATAAACAGTCGATCTAGGTTAAATTTTCGGAAAAGGGAAAACATTTGACGGGTATAAAACATCACATACGATCGTTAAAGTTCTAAAATGACAGACAGCAGAAACAATAGGCTAAATTATGAGCGAAAGGCTTATAGGTTTATCAACAATCTCTGATCAGAGTCGGCGAACAGGTGTCAAATAAATTCAAATAAACGCCTCGGAACAAACCTTTCTCGTGATCTGGTTTCGATTTTCACCTGGAGACAAAGAAGAAAACAATCGGGAGCGAGGAATGGGGCGCAGGACTAATCGTAAGGTAAGATTCAAAGAAGAAATATTATAAAAACCCCGAATCTCAAGGTCAAAACGCAGTTTTCCTAAAAATTCTATGCCGATTAATCTGTGTCGTCTTCATCTGGATTAAGCCTGAAGTCGTGCCCGCTAAAATTTGTGTTATGTCTCGCGGACCGCTCTAGTTGTTGCAGCTCTGTCACAGAAGCGACAGAGCTGCAACAACTAGAGCACTTCTGTGACCAAGCGAACCCATCTCGTCCTATCTGGGGCTACGACTGATCAGCTTGCACTATCGTAGGACCAGCGATATGGCACTCCTCAGTGCTGAGAGAAAATACTGTATATAAGCCATTTCCAACTTCTTCAAAATTTGTAAGCATCTTCCCGTTCTAATAAACGATTTTCACTGTAAAATACTTGCCATCTTTGTCTCCTCCGAACCACCAACGTACGAATGGACCTTAGACCATCACTGACACACGATTAACTGATTTTCCCTAAAAGTCGGCAAGCTTACAAATTTGACACAAAAAGCCGTTAAGTTCGTTATCCGAATTTTGTTCGTTATCCGAGACAAAATTTTTGCAAAATAATAGTTCATTAACCGATTTGGTTGTTAACCAGGACGTTCGTTAAGCGGGGTTCCACTGTACTGCTTAACACAAGTTTTGCACTCTGCAAATCATCCCACAAACAGCACTTTCACGTTACATAATTTGCATATATACATGTACACATTTATAATTTGCATATAGGTGTTTACACACTTATAATTTACATATTTGTTTATTCTGTTTTATAATAATTTTATCCAGTTATCATTTATATTAATTAATATCTAAATTTTTATTAAGTTTATTATTACATCTTATAATTTCAATGTTTTCTTTAAATTCTTTGTATTACGTTCACGATGTAAAATTTTTATATTGTTTTTATCTATATTACAGGTACAAAGTGTAAAATGTTTGTGAAAAACAGAATTAATTTTATTATACAGGGTGGACCAAAAAGAATATACAGTAGATCCCCCTATAAGACGGTAGATACGTTCCGTTCTTTATGAATCAATTTTGTAGGAATCATAGTTTACGGACTACGGCTGTTTGAAAGGTTTTCTTTCATAAAATTAATCGATTCTAGACTAATTCGACTCAACATTTCCAAAATACGTATATTTTTTTGNAGATTCTCATGCTGGTGACTGTTTTCATCAATTTATTCAAACTCAATGAGCAATCATTTATTGTGACATTATTACAATGCCAGGCTGCAATTTTTAATCATATTTTTAATTTATTTAATTTCAAATATATGCTCTCCACCTCAAATTAGTGGCAGCTTGTCCCCTGAACATCATAATTTTCCTGTTAACAATAGAGTCATGCTGTGTAATCTAACTCCTTTCCAAGGAAACTTTTTTAATTAAAATTACATGACTTCCAGTTTGTGTTGGAAGTTCATGTATGGTTAAATCAGGGCTTCCTGCCCCTAATACCCCATTTGCACTGAGCATTTTGATCTAGATTGCGACCAAGGTCGACGACTATGCCGTGGTATGACCTCTCCCGACTGAAACGAGGTTCAATAGTGATCGACTCGAGAGAGTTCTCGAAACTAGATCCAGTCATAAGAGAGATCCCACAATCCCACGCACGCGAGAAAATACAAGATGGCTGCGGAACACGTGTCGGGCTATCAACAGCGAACTAAGAAAGATATTGTATTTCGAGAGACGATGACATCTGTCTATTATTATAATAATACCTAATGATAAAATAAATTATTTAGAAAAGTTATTCTTGTTTAACTGCTTTCTGTATGACTTTTTCTGATTAAAAAAAGCCAATTTTAATGTTTATAAAATATTTTGAATGAAAAATATTAAAATACTGTATGTACAAAATAAACCATTTTGAACACTCTTTTTTATTATTTATCAAAAAAATATAGTTTTGGCATAAACAATGTTAAATTTTAACTGACTTAATTTTGCAAACACATCTTTTTTATTTATATGGGTATCTTAAGATCTGTTTTTGCGCTAATGTTGCTAATGCACCATTTGAGCGAAAAAAAAATTGTTAAGGAAAAATTTTCTGTTATCGAACCCTTTGTTAAATATTTCGAATATCACCACTGCACATCATATTGTACGTGCTTTCAAGAGACATGGCATTGTACTTCCTCTAAAACTGCAGATTTCCCTGTGCAGATTATTGTGTAATGATAGGGATAGTTTTACCTTTTTGGAAAAGTCAGGAGTCTACATGGTCTATTATTATTATTATTATTATAATTTTTCAATGCATTGAAGCATTCTTTGGAATACATTTCAAATTTGCTGTTTGGAACACATTAATGTATATTTAAAATTTTAAGATTCCATTATTCTATATCTGAAGAAGACAATCTGAAATTTGTTGAAAGTACTAGTAGTAATATTTCAAGTAAAATAATAATGTTGACAGACAGTGTTAATATTTTCTTAAATAATAACTCTAATAATGGAAGAAATGTGCAAAAAACTTAGATTATATGGAAGCAATTGCTTTTTAAAACAGTAAAATAATATATAATAGTAAACTAAATTTTTTTATTAACTGTTAAATTGTCAAAGATCATTTATTATGATTTTTTTCTCTTTCATTTGTCTTGTATTTTACAAAGTGTGTATCTTATGATATAATTATTTTGCAAATCTTACTACATTCTAGGACCGGAAGGTGCCAATCTGTTTATTTATCACTTGCCTCAAGAATTCACAGATAATGATCTAGCTCAGACATTTGTGCCATTTGGTAATGTGATTTCTGCCAAAGTTTTTATTGATAAACAAACAAATTTAAGTAAATGCTTTGGTAAGTAAAATACATAATTTTGAAGACAAATTATTTATTTAAGAATTTTTTATTAATTCTCCCAAAAAATGAATGTGTAATTTTTTCATATACTTTCAGGTTTTGTTAGTTATGATAACCCAGTCAGTGCACAGGCAGCGATACAAGCAATGAATGGGTTCCAAATAGGCATGAAGCGCCTTAAGGTGCAATTAAAACGTTCCAAAGAAGCCAGTAAACCTTATTAAGGGTGTCCACTATAGCTGATCCCCATGCCTGCACACCTGATGGTAGGTATTATAATAATGAAGTAAGCTAATTTAATTCATTTTTTTATTTTTACAGCTATTTGAATAAGAAAATGCAACATTGAGATTATTTATTTTTTCTTAAATTATTTTATTCACTTTTGTTTTCTTGGATTAGTGAAATAGAATATTTTTTTACCCTTAGATTATCATTATCGTAAAATTATTCATATAAAATCAGTTTTAAATTAATGCATATAAACATTATACATATCAAGCATAAATTATTTTTTTGTTATTTTATTTTTCTGATATCAGTTCATTTTCTGGGATTTTATAATCCCAGAAAATAAACTTACATTTATAAATAATTATTTTAATGTTCTTAGTGGCATTTTAGAATAAATAGTATTTCTAAAAATTTACAATAATTTTGAATGGTATGAATATAAAAATTATGAATTTTTAATGTAATATTATAGATGATATTCCATAAAAGTAAATTTATTTTGCAGTGTTAAATGTGTGACTTTATATAAATAAATAATTATTATTTTGTGGCTTATCTAAACCATAAACTTTATAAGAATTCCTTTTTTAAAATTAAATTTTATGATAAAAAGTTAAATTTTGGAAAATTAATGATTCTATATAGTTAACTGAAATGTGTGTGTGCATTTGCATGTGCATGCTTTTATAGTTTTCCTGGAATAAGAATGGAATTGACTTTAATTAGTTTATGCATTTTTACTTATAATATATTTTCTTCAATGTTTTCTTATGTTACAAAGTTCTTTTGTAACTTATTTCAATGTTTTCTTACAATAATCTGAGCATATAATGCTCAGATTACTGTAAGAAAATATTGAATACGTTTGAAAACTACAAGTAGTTTTATTAAATGTTGATACACATTGTAGTCAGTGATTATATCCATCAAATAATTGCTTCAGTCACATTGTTAGTAATTTCATTTTTCTTTCAATCCTCTCTCAATAAAATAAATATTGTTTTGTTTACATATTTTTGTATAGACTCATTCCATTATATTTTACAGAAATATTCATGAGGATTAAAATATTTATTTCAAATAATGAAGAAAGTAACTGCTATTAGAGCAGAACAACAAAGCAATTTCAAATGGTATATTTTAAAGAAACATTGAACGTAGATGGGAAATAATATTAATAAGATTTTATGTAAATAGATTCAGAATATTCATGCACCATTAGGTTTTATGTTGTAAACAATAACTAAAATTATTCATTTCCTAAAATAAACTTTTATGGTTAGGTGAACGAAATTTATGGGATTTTGTGATGTTTTCTATAAAATATGCTAAAACAACTTTATAGGATAGTATATAAATAAAAAGAAAGATAAATTTCTAAAAACATCAAGAGAAAAGACAAAATTTAACACCACCACCAATCCAAAAACAAATGTTTCTATGAAGCCCTTGCTCAGATAGAATAATGCTACAAACAGACTTGCAGAATTATCTATTTATTTATTAATGGTTTAAATTGCCTTAATCAAATTGCCTATGTGAAATTTCTAATATTTTTGCAAGAAATTTGAAATTACAAGAAAAAATTAGTGTTATATGATGTGATATTTTGAAAGTTTTTATTCTGCTCTTAACTGTTAAGAGCAGAATAAAAGCTTCGACTATGAAACTAACTTGTTTCATTGGCTTAATTCTTATTCTGGAAAATAGTATGGTTACAGATATTTTATGTGGAAAGTCAAACTTTTTAACAAAATAGCTCATTGCCCATAAACTTTCTGGAATAAAGATATAAAGATTAAATTAACTTTAAAAAGTGATTCACTTTTTAATAATCAAATCTAATTATTGGATAAATAAACCATCATAACATGGTGCAAATAATTCATTCAATCATATCATAATGTTTAAATTGATTGAATTGAGCAATGTTTTATATTATATTCCTGTAAAAATTCATGATCAAATATTAGGTATCATATAAATAATAGATCATTTGACTATTTATCTAGGCATATACTCAAAATAGAATTTATATAATTATTCTGTATTATTGTTTGTTTTTACAAAAAACAGAAAATAACTTATTTTATAACATATGAATATACTGGCTGGTTAAGACAACCAAAAATATTTTTATTCAGATTTCTTGAAGATATCATCAGGTAGGACAGTTAAATATTCAAAATTAAAAGTTAGAATAATTAAAAATTTTTGACTGATTGCCATACTTTTCCTCTGTTATCTATAACAGATTCAGGAAAGTAAAAATAGGAGTCCATGACTTTGTTTTCAATATACAAAAGTATTAATTAAGTGACAATGTCCATGCTCTCTGATGCAATGAGTGCACCTAACAGAGTTTAGGTCTAGGGGTCAAAAATAAAATCAGTATTATGTGTGCCTAACAGAAAATAGGTACAAAAAACAAACAAAGCAATTGCCATTGATTGCTTTGTTCTTGGATTGTCTCTCTGTACCTGGCCAGTGCAAAGATTGTTTCCTGTGGCCTGCAGGTACAATGATAGCCTCTTTTATGGTAGCAAGTGTAAAGTTCACCTGTCTGCATTCACCATACAAGAATTGCCTCTTCTGTGCCTAACAGGTGGAGGAATCACTTTTTTCCTTCCAGCTCTGCTTCAATTCTGTTGTGATACAACAAAGTTGTGCAATGACCTAGTAATCTATTATATGAAATTTAAATAATCAAGTACAGAAATTAAACAATAAAATATAATATTAAATTATGTAAGTGCTTGATAGTGTACGTACATTAACTCTCAATAAAACTTTAACTACTCTTTGACAAAGGTAGAAAATCTTTAAATTTCAACAGTGTCTTTCAAGTTCTGTCCAATTGAGTTGAATCTTGTGAATTAATACTTGAGATAATTAATACTTAGATCCGTGATATAACTAAGGTGGGCATATGTCCTGAGTGCTGATCTTGGATACATCAAAATAAACCAGTAGAATTAAAAGCCCATAGAATTTTTCGTAATTAATGTTGAATTGTGTGCCAAAACTGTTCAGTGTGGCTCTGACTTATATAAAACATAGTTATATATTAGTTCTAATAATCTAATTAAATAACAGCCCTTTAATTCATAAACTGTCTTAAGGTCTGTTCCACAACACCTAATTTTCTTCATCCATCACCCATATGTTTGATAGGTTTAGTGGCTGAAGTTGGTACTAAATTTTATGGAGTTCAAAGCTAAATATAATTTTTTGTTTATTGAATACATAGATGCTAGAGTGAGTAATTGACCTAGTTTCTAGGTCATATAGACCCAGAAAATGTGTTCATTGTCCTGTCTCCAGGATTAAGTCCATATGGGTCATCAAAATTCCTGATTTTCACGAGTGAGATTTTAACTATTAGGCAGAAAAATACAGCAATTCTCATCACTACCTTTTTAAATCTTAAAATTTTAATGTTTCACCTATTATTTTATAAATTGAAATAAAATTAAGCTTGAAATATTTGCAAAATAAAATTTAGAAGATATATGAAAATGTTTTAAATAACAATATAAAAATTTTGGTTCTCTGAAATTTGTGCATTGCATAAGAATAAAAACACAAAAAGAGTGAGTATTCATAAAGAGCATTAGAAAAAAGGGTTAGATAACATATTATATGGATATATGAACTTGTTGAAAAATGTGAACTTTTATGCAGATTAGAATAATCTCAGGTCTCAAGAATGAAGAAATTTAAACTTGTGCAATGTCTATTTATAGAATTAAATTTTTCTGTGGGCATTATAACATTTGATGATCAATTATTGTACATCTTTTATGCTGAATTATATTTTAGAATCTTTTTGCACTAATTTTTCAAAAAAATTAGAATCAGTATCATCATCCAGCAATATTTGTCTAAAGTTCAATTTTACTCATAATTTTATGTTTTGAATACAAGTTTTAAAGTGATTCCAAAGATTGAATCTAATTAGATTAATACCTAGACTGAAAATGTATTTATTTGGAACAGTTTTAGAGAAACCATTTTCTCAGGATGGGTCCAGACTTGTTGCATATCCTCATAACATATTGTTGTGGCTTATCAATCTAGTGATATATGTTGCTTACTGTGCAACTTAGTTTCTTCCCATATCCAAAATCACATTTTGAGAATAGGGTAAAGTGTCAATTTAAACCCATAGTTTCAAGAAGCAATGCTCACATCCATGAAGTTAGCAACAACTGCATGCATGTACTGTACCTTCAATATACTCTTAAAAGAAAGAAGTCACAGGATTTTGGATGTTGTAAATCTGTCAAATAGAGAAGTTTGTAGTTGGTTAAATCTGTTGGTTGACTTCTATATAAACAAGCACAAAGCATGTTTGTGTTATTTAACATATGTTATTATGCAAATTAATATAAAAATAACTTAAAATTAAATTNCGAACAAAATATGCAGCAGCTTGCTGCAGCATATAACAGATTACCTATCTGCAGGAATACTTTCGCAAAAGAAGGTCGCAGTAAATACAATAATTCTGAAAAATAAGTGTTTAACAGCATTTATCCCGTGCAGAAAATTTGTAAGAACCTAGTAATCTATTATATGAAATTTAAATAATCAAGTACAGAAATTAAACAATAAAATATAATATTAAATTATGTAAGTGCTTATATAGTATATATTAACTCTCTTCAAAATTCCTGTATGACTGCATTAAAAAAATCCTTATATTCCAACATTATCATCCAAGTTCTATCTAATTGAGCTACATCATGAGAATTAATTATTTTGATATGCTTAGATAAGATAAGGATATGTATTTGTATAAATACAACCTTACCAAAAACTGAAACTGTAATATTCGCAAATCACACCTAAATTCAAAATTTCCAGCAAATAAAAGTCAAAAATACACATCGAACATTTTCGGCCACTAAATTTATCGGCCTTCCTCAGGAAATATAAACTGGAAAAACCGTTCTATAAATAGAACTTAGCTGCCTTTTAAATTTTCAAAAGAACGAAAATGGCTGTGACATATCTTGTATGACATATA